GTTCCACAGGCTGGCAGAGAGGAGATTTCACTTTTGATGACAGCTCTTGTTGTAAATATTGCCATTTATTACCCATTTGGTCCTTTGGAGCTAAGGTGGGATCAGCCTGCTTGCTCTTTGGATCAGATTCTCCACTGTTATATTGAGAAAACATTGTTAGAACAGCAAATACTTGAAGCAGAACAAGCGAAATTAGATTTGTAAGTCATGTTGTATAAGATTAGTTTCCATTGCCCCTGCCTCAAAACCAGGGTGAAACCAAGTGCAATGATGACCTTTAATCCAAACTTCCGACACATTTCTTTTTGATATGTTTCCCGTGAAACAGCCCAGCGGTCTGCTGGCAGCCTCCATCTATGAGGTCACAATGAGGAGCATAGTCCTGTAGCATGTCTTGGCTCCATGCTGGAGGGTGCATGATCCCAATGCCCCCTTTTCAAAGATGCTGCTTTTTAAACTGGCTGTACAGCAAAGGCAATCAACAGAGACACCCAAACTACCTCTGGATGGCCCTAATTTAGTTTATGGCAGGTGTCAGCCCTGCCCTGATGTCAAGACTGACTCTAAATACTGGAGTCAGCCCAGTATCAAAGAGGTGGTCACATAAATGAGACTCCATTTCTCTACAGTGTTGATGGCAGAAATTTCACAGCTTCTGCCATTTTTCTTCTGAAGGCACAGATACTTGCATGGAACCAACAGTGCCATCACAAAGTTTCATCAGGTTTAGGCAGTTTTACATCACTGAATCTGGTAGCTGATACTGTTATTTCGTACCTGGATTGTAATTTCTGAGTCACTCTGCCATCAAACTGTGGTTGTATTTTTTCCACGCATGACTCAATGAAGTCAATGAGGCTTTTCTGATCAGCTGCTTTTACTTTCGGATCCTGTGCAGAGAATAGCATGAACAGTGAAATCACTTGTGTGCACTGTATTAATCTAGAATGATTATGTTTTTCCAATCACATTGTACATGAAGTCACTTAGCAAAGAAAATAATACATCTATTAGAATAAAATGCAGTTTATGTGTAAACATGAGTTTACCAAACAAACCATTTTCTGTGTGTGCTGGAAACCACTGTGTGAAATGGGTGGCTGTTCAGCAAGGGCAAGCTGGGGTGTGCTGTCATGAATCTCTAAAGAGAGAACCGTTATGGGAAGGCTTCCAGACTTGACAAGAGAGCAGAACCCACAGGTCCAGTTCGGGGTAATGACAAAAGTGGAGCTGTCTCCGTCTTACCACACATAGAATCAGCAATGTGTGAAACAAAATTGCTGTTCTTGCAGAGATCTCTGTCCAGTTCAATTTACCGAGAGTTTCTAACCTGCAGCTAAAGTCCTCACATTTCTGTACCTGACAGTTAAAAGGCTTGTTTGCCAGTGGTCCTGGCCCAAAAGCATTCACAGAGAGAAGTTCCCTTATGCCTGTAACATTGATATACAGAAACAACAATTGCAGCTATCACAACATTATCAAGACACCATGAAAAACAGAGCAGAACGCCACCAAAATTGTAGCTGATAGGGTGTCTTGGATGCTCATCTTCTCAGGTACAGAGCCTCTTCCACAAATTATCCCCCAACAAAATGCACATTTTACAGCCTTTCCAGGAATTAGTGAAACAAATTGCTGTTACCAAATGTGCATTTCTACTTTTGGGGGTTTTGTCAGGCTAGAAGAAATTAATACAAAATCACAGAATCATTTAGGTTGGAAAAGACCCTTAAGATCACTGAGTCCAAACAATACGTACAACAGGAAAAGAGATTTTAAATGGCAAGATTTAGTGTGATCTGGACAATGGAGGATCTGAGTAAGGCCATCATGTCCGGCATTTCTGCAGTTCTCTTGCTTTGCAGACTTCAGCAATACCTAGGGCTGGCACAGATCTTTTCCACAAAGATGAGTTCCCATCCCTGTGGAGATAAACCTGAGTGCATTACCTGAAAAATGCCATCTGACAAGGTGCCAGAAGACCAGGAGGTTGCGCTGTCTTCCTTGTGCCTTTCATCATCTCTTTCTGAAGTCCAAAAGCTTCCATCTTTCTCTGTGGCTGTACTTCCCTTTGAAAGCAGTAACAGCTCAGCATTAGCCTGTGAACAGGAAGCTCAGATATTCCTTCAGGTGATGTAAATTATTGCAAACCTTTAATAACCCTTTGCTCTATTTCTGCCTTGTTCACCTATCTTCATTGTGTTTCCCAAATCCCACTTCTTCCCTTTCTTTATAGATCTGCTGCAAAATGAATGGCAGCTGGAAAACACTGGTAGTTTTCACTAGAGACCTCAGAGTATCCTCATTTTTTCCACACTACTAAAGAAATAAAAAAAACAACAAGAAACAACAAGCAGGTAGGTAGGCTACAAGCTCGCCAGCACTTCTGCACATTCCTGATTTCAATCAAATACATCTCGTAGTCCCAAGGGTACAGGAAAGTGCGCAGAAAGTTTAATGGATCTTTTTTTTTTCCAAAAGCTATTAACTTTATTACGAATCTTTACTCCCAGTTTTGCTTCTCTGCAGTTTACCTGGGCATTTAGTCTCCCCAGATTCAGAGCAACCTATTGAGCAGTGTCTCCCAGTTTCTCCCATTCTCCCAGAAATCTCTCCCATCTTAACTTCATCCCCAATAGTCTGATCCCTCCCTTTTTTCTTAAGCTAAAGCATACAAATCATTTTGGCTGTTTAAGTTTTAGCACTTCAGAACCCCACTGTCTGAACCCCACCCCCACATATGAACACTGGTATTTAGGCCCATATTTTGCCACTAACACTTCCATAAGGGGGATATTACTGTATAAGCAGACCCACCAAAAGCAGGATCACACATCACAGAATGAGGTGCTGTGCAATATGGGTATTGTAACATTGGTAGGCTGGCTCGAGTGCAATTTCTTAGCACCCTGGAGTGATAACAGTATTTCAATTTGTTCTGAAGTATTTTGGATTTACACATTTTTCATTTTATATAATTTGTCCTGTACCAAAATCTTGTATCTTACACACACAGCTGTATATATAACATATATACTGAACTCACCTTGTTGTGGAAAGAGTTGTCTTCTGATTCTTCATCTAAGCAAGGTAGAAGAGACATCATTCCTCTTTTTCTCAGCTACAAAAATACACACAAAGAGACAGCCTAATTATTCATGACATGAACAGTACAAGTCTCTTCTGCCTGTAAATCCAAGGGAAGTTGCCACTTGGAGTCCAGTTTTGGAGAAGCACTGAACATCTGACAACCTACATCAAAGTCATTGAAAGCTGCAGGTACTAAGCACCTATGAAAATTGTGACTTTTCTCTGTGCTGTAATATTTCAACATTACAGCTACAATTGGGAAAAATTTTATTTTACTCCATGAAAATAAATTACCAAAAACCACAGAACACCTGATTATCAACAAAACCACTGTGCATTTTGCTGTTGATACAAACTTCATGTTGGATCTGCTCATGCTAAAAAATAACCAGAGGCAGACTTCTCTCCCACCTTCTAGACATGCATCAGTCAGTCCTGTTAGGACTATTCAGAAGCACAAAGGGGAGGAGAAGTAGCATTGATTAACAGCTGCAGTCTCACATGTTGTCTCACATGCCACTCCTCCTGGAGGAAGAAGGGTTATTTACCCTCTTGGCTCAGGGTAAGTGATCCTAATGCTCCACTTACCTGCAGACCAGAAACATCGTTCCCAATCAAGTCAGCCTGTGCTGATATAAAGGCTGTGGGTTCATCTCCTGATTCAGGCATTTCTTGCTTTAAGTGCTGGTGAAGCTCAGACACTGAATTCTTCATCCCAGTAAGGGTATCTTCCTTTCTTTGGCAGAGCTTTATGATTTCTTCTTTTACAGCTTCCGTTTCTCCCTAAGGAGCAACAACATCTGTAAGGATCCATTTTTCTTACTTAATCAAACAGTAACGCAACAGATGATACCAGTGATGCGTCTTACTGGGACTGGGGCTATTTCCCCTTTTTCCTTTTTCAGGACACTGAGACAGTTCCCCATTGTCACTGCAGATGTCCAGATACATGCAAAACAGCAGCAACAGATTCAGCTCAGGACAGCACCTGCTACCTGTAACGCAGAAGTTAGCAGTCAGGAAGGAAATGTGAAAAGCCGGTTAACTAATGTGAACTAGGTCCTGCATAGCCATGGGAATACGAGTTTCCTTCAGGACAGAAGGAATGCAGCTGGGTTACATTGCTCTGTGTGTCACAGTAGATGACGTCACTTCCAGCTACCATCCCTGGATACCTGACATAAAACACTTGGGAAAGCCTTGATGAGGGCAAAGACAGCAATAAGGGTAGCTCCGAGCTGAGTCATTTTTGCTGAAGCTGTCCTAAAAGAAGGAAACAAACCATTTGGTGAGTTTTAGTGACGTGGCTAGGGCCAAAATTATCCTGTGTCTTTGAATGTTATATTGGTAGCAATAGTCCCTAACAAAGTGCAAGGAAAACATTCAATGTTCTGCAGGGATTAAACAATAATCCAAGTAATTCTGCACTAACAAAGGGGGAAATAGATCTGTCTTCATCTCCTCCCTGGCCACGACTATTGGTCTAGCCAGTGTTCTGCCCTTAGACCTTTCTGCTAGGGCCTCTCTTTACCACCCAGTCTCCCATTGAGCAAAGAAAGCACAACAAATAAGACAAGGCAAGGAATAAAATGCCCTACTCCCTTCATTACTGAAAGTGTTAAAGCTCCCTGAAGCACTGTTGCTTGCTCAGAAAGCTGAAATGTGGCAAAATATCCCACTGCACGCTGGGCTCAGTCCATCAGAGCAAGCTTTGATGCTAGGCTTGAAATAAGAGCAGCATTGATTCCACATCATACTCTGTCATGGTCTGAATAATGCTAGGCAAGTAATAATCTGTGACAGATTAAAGCAGTAAAACTGCTGGTTCTGTCTCGGCTACAGCTTCTTCTGTTAATAACACTCCTGTGGCTGCGAGACAGGGAAGGTTGAGGCAGGAACCCCAGCAAATTTTCAACGAACATGGGAACTCTGCTCGGACAAGAATGTTATTTCCTTTTGTACACCCAAAAAACCCCAAGGTAAAATCTTCCAAAGGTAGAGGCAAGAAAGAGTCATTGGAATGAAGAAATACTCATCCATGGTAATTTGGCATAGTTTTGTAAACATCCACTGAGAACAGTGTTACTGTTTGCTTCATTGCAGGAGGAGACTTCACAGCCTACATTTACCAGCTACTGCTTGGCAAAGTTTGAGGTCGAGGGAGGTGATTCTGCCCCTGTACTCTGCTCTTGTGAGACCCCACCTGGAGTGCTGAGTCCAGCTGTGGAACCCCCAACATCAGAGGGATATAGACTGGTGTGTGTTGAGGATTTTCTGCAGGACTATGGTCATGTATAGAATCTCTGAGCCTGAGCA